GTCCTGGCGGTGCGATCTACCCCGTCCCTCCCCGCTCGAGGCATCCCATAGGATCCCCAGCTCGGGGAGGCACCGTGGATCTCCTCGCAGGAGGCGGCCCCCTCTGTTGGTGTTGGTGTCGCTTCTCCTCCAACCCAACTTCCGTCGCGATTGAGTATCTGCTTCCCTCCCGAGCTGGAGATGCCCTGGGGGAAGGAAGAAGGACATACGCATAAAAACTCGGAAGTCCGCGCGGATTTCTCGGACCGGCTCCGGACCCTCCTCCCTGGCGCCCCAGCGCGGATCCGCGAAATCCGCGCGCACCTCCGAGTTTTGATGCTGAAGCCGTTCTTCGTTCCCCTGGCTCCCCTCCCGGGCTGGAGCCGCCCCCCGCCCCCCCGCCCCCCCGCCCGCCCCCCGCGCCGGCGGGCGCTGGGCCGAGGCCCCCGCTGCGGGTAGTACTTCGGCCAGTGCCAGCCGCCAGGCGGCGGTCGCCTGCCGCTCGCGGAGTGCTCCTCGCGGGCCCACGCGCGCGCGCGGGAGGCGCGCGGGAGAGGCGCGCGGCCGGGCGAGCCGAAGCCCTCCGAGGTAGAGGCGGGCTGCCGCAAGGAAGAACGCTGCGTACGGAACGAGGCCCCAATTTGGCACCCAAGAGAGCCTGCGTGCACGAGGGCTCGAGGAACAACCACCAACAATCGGCGCGCCCAAGGGGGACGGCAGAGGGGGCGGGCCTTCTCAGAAGGCTCAAGAGGCCTCGGGCCTGCTGAACCGCTTCCTTTTATGGGCCTTCTCCCAGGCCGCTGAGGACCTCTCAGAAGGCCAGGACGGCTTCTGAGAAGGCCAGCCCCCTCTCGCTAGCCCCCCTCGGCGCGCCGCCGCAAAGAAACACGCCTCCGCAACCAACCACCACCAGCGCGAGGAGCCAGGGGGAGGCCTCCCCGCTCGATGCACATCCCCTTGACCCCCAGCTCGGGGAGACATCGTGGGCCTCCTCACTGGAGGTGGCATCCGTGGTGGTGTTGGTGCCGCTTTTCTGTCCAAGGCTCTCCGAGATGGCTCAGAAGGCCACCAAGGCCGCCACAATAGCTCGGCATTGCCTCAGAAGCCCGTGAGGCTTTCAGCACACCACGGAGAAAACCAACAAGTCCTCCAGGAAGGCCAAGAAGACAGAATAGCCTGACGACTTCCTGAAGCCGTTGAATGTCGTCGCCTGCCTGGGCACCTCGGCTCGAGATATGTCTACGATGGCCTAAGATGCGCCAAGGAGTAACCCAACGAGCCCTACGCAAGACCCCAAAAATAAACAACAACCGCATGTCAACGACAGCTTCGCGAGGGTCCGAAGGCGGCAAAAGAGAGGCCCATGACAGCCCCAGAGGGCTCACAAGATAAGCCAAGAGTCGTGTAGGAAATCGACTACAGAATTGATGTACCCCAAAATTGAGTTTCCCTTCCAATCTACGGAAAAATACGTAGGATCCTCAGTGTACGAAGCTGTTACTCATTCGTCGTAGATTAGATAGTGACGATCAGTTTTGGAAAAAAAACGATTATGTAGTAGCCAGGGCGTCTCGGAACAAAAAACATGAGGGAGTATCGAGCGGGCGCCGTTGTCGTCGTAATTGGGTCTTCGCCAAATTGGCAGAGTTGCCAGGGCGTGTCGGGCAAGAGCGTCATTACTGAGTTTGAGAGCCTCTCTGGCCAGGAAATCTCGTAATTAACTATGAGGTCTCGAGCGGGCGCCGTTGTCGTCGTAGCTGGGACTTCGCCAACTTGCCTGATATGCGAGGACGTCACAAACAAGAACGTCGTTCCTGTGGTTGGGAGCCTCTTTGGCCCCAGCGTCTCGGAAGAAACCGGGAGGATCGAGCGCGAGCCGATGTCGTCAGCCGTCACCAACTTGAGTGACACGCGAGGAACTTCCGAGCGAGAGCGAGGGGGTTCTCTGGTCAGGGCGTTCGACGGAGTATCGAGCGGGCGCCGTTGTCGTCGTAATTGGGTCTTCGCCAAATTGGCAGAGTTGCCAGGGCGTGTCGGGCAAGAGCGTCATTACTGAGTTTGAGAGCCTCTCTGGCCAGGAAATCTCGTAATTAACTATGAGGTCTCGAGCGGGCGCCGTTGTCGTCGTAGCTGGGACTTCGCCAACTTGCCTGATATGCGAGGACGTCACAAACAAGAACGTCGTTCCTGTGGTTGGGAGCCTCTTTGGCCCCAGCGTCTCGGAAGAAACCGGGAGGATCGAGCGCGAGCCGATGTCGTCAGCCGTCACCAACTTGAGTGACACGCGAGGAACTTCCGAGCGAGAGCGAGGGGGTTCTCTGGTCAGGGCGTTCGACGGATTATCGAGCGGGAGTCGATGTCGTCAGAGCTGGGCCCTCAAGGACTCGCATTCGGAATCAAACAGGCGCTTGAGCGGGAGCCTCGTCTCCAAAGAACAGGTCACCCACCTCGAGGCAAGACATTCCACGTTCTCCAGAAGAGGCGAGACACTCCATGTTCCCCGACGACGACGACGACCGGCGAAGGCCAACGGTCACCGCAGTGGCCCGCAAGCGCCACAGCCTGCTTGGGAACTCCGAAGCATGCCTGTCCGCAGCGCCACGCCCCTCCCCCCCCCACACACACCCACACACACATAATACACACACACGCACACACACACAATACACTCAGACACAGACACAGACACAGACACAGACACAGACACACACACACACAAACACGGACAATCGGCACCGTTCCTGGGAAAGTGGGGTGCGACACCCAATAATGAACATTACGGGTTCACCGAATAACATGCAATACCAAATTCAGGCCAGGCCGCCCCGACCCCGCTCGGTAGGCGGCAGGGTCGTCCTCGCCCTCGGCGTCGTCCGGCTTGGGGGCGAAGATGCCGGCGTCCATTTCAGGGTCGCCGGCCGCCTCGACGCCAACCTCCTCGGCCGGGGCAGGAGGAATTGTTGGCACGAAGGCAGCTAATTCTGGAAAAAATCGCCGGCGCGCCCAAAGGGGAAATGAGAGGGAACATGTCGTATTGCCGTCCGTGCCGCCTGTCGTGCTCCAGCTCCCGGGGCGCGCGCACGGAGGGCATCGCTGGCATGGTGCGCCCCGCCCCCCGCGCACTCCGCGAAGGCATCGGCGGCGCGCCGGGGTGGGAAGTGAGGGAGGAGGCCCTTTCGGAGGGCGGCGGGGCTTCGGAGAAGCCGTCTGCGTCTTCGGGGAAGGCGCGGAAAACTTCTCGGAAGGCCGGAGGCCTGCCGAACCTTCTTGGGGGGGGCCCGCCTCCCCCCCCTGGGGCGGGCCGCCGAACAGAGGAGTCCTGCAGTGGCTCGCCGTGTTCACGCGGGGCCGTCAGCAGAAACGCCTCGGGATGGGCTGGGGGTCCCGACGCGGTGCGGCGACAGTCCGTGCGGCGACTGCGAAATCACCAAACATCTCACCGCACGGTCCGTCACCGCACGGAGTATGGGACCTTGGGGGCCCCAGTCACCCCGCCAAAGCCGTGCGGCCACCCTGACCCCCCACAGACTCACCACGCGGCTTGGTCGCCGCACCGTTCAGACCCACGGAAGAGTTGGTTTATGGGAGCGCCCCAGGGCATAGGCCCCATCTTCCTCAGAATCCGATTTTCCCGTCAAGAGATCGCGTCGATTTGGAGGCGGGGGGGCTCTGATGCGGCACAGCCCGCGGGACGGAAGAAAATGAGAGAGAGAGAGAGATATGGAGATAGTGAGGAGAGGGATCCTTCATCCTTGATCCATACGGGGTTCATTGTCAGCCTGTCGCAATTCAAAAGAAGAAACGCACGATGCGCAACCCAAGTGCAAAAGAAAAGAGGCCTGCGGACGAGAACCCCTGACCAAGGCGTGAAACCACACCCGGCAGGAGGACGGCATGGGAAACTCGAAGGCCCACCAGGCATGCGCCAACCCAGCCGGGAGGAAGGGGACAAGTGAGGGAGATGTGACCGCTGAGGACCAGAAACGGACACGCCTGAAGCAACATTAGATGTCCCAGAAACGCAACGCTGCAATGCAAGACTGGACTCTCATTGACATGGGCACGAGCCCAAACAGGAGCTCCGCTATGGCGGACACTAGCTGATCGCAGGTAGCACAACCACAAACCCAGCATCGATTCAAGGGCGAGCGGGGGGGTGGGCCCACGGGGCAGCAGGCGGCACAGACCCCTTACCGAACGACAGGTCTGGACAGCAGGAGGTGTCCATGACACCTCATGAGCAAGTGCATGCAACATGGCAAGAAGAGTAAAGAGGCAAGCGCGCCGAGTGCTCACGATCGCGCCTGGTTGAAAGGCCTGCACCAGACGGATTGGAGACCAACATGGTGCGAAAGTGACGTATGCAAAAAAACACGGGCAGGGCGCCACGGGGACAGCTAACAAGTAGAGACCTGGCAGCACATACAGCGCGCAAGAAAGTTACTGCATCTCGTATTGAGAAAGAGGCGAGCCCGCCAGATATTCACAATGGCACTGTCTGGTTAAATGGCTCCTCGCATGAAAGAGCGAAAATGAGTGCAACCGACAGAAGTGCAATAGTGACAGGGTAGATAGCGCAGAAAGGACGCCAGATGAAAAGCGACAAGGACGTATCTGGACAGACCTACGGCACGCAAAACAATAACAGCACTAGCAAGGCAATACCAAGGGAACAATGAGGCAAGGGTCGGCATGCAGAAGGCACCCGTGGAATCAACGGCCGTGGCTGCCAAGCTTTTGAGACGATGAATTAAAAAATCCTGCGTCATGCATGCGGACCAAGATATCCGAGAATCCTTCTGTTCGGGAGGAGAGTCCTCGATGCAACAGGCACGGCAACTAAACCCTGGTCCTTCCTCTCACATTGTGGCACTGCGCACTGCGCCAGCGTCCATCGTGAGTGATACGTCAGCAAGAAAGGCACGCTGGTGAGAAATTGGGAATGCATCGAAGAAATAAGACAACCCGCTGTTAGTTCGCGTCGCGGTCCAAAACCTCGTTTTGAACGCTTTGCAAATCGGAGGACGCGGAGTGCCAGGCCCCTCCCTCCCTCTCGTTCGCGCGTGGTCGCTGAGCTGGAGCGTGGGCGCCACTGCGCATGGGCCATGGAGACCTGTCATGTTCTCGCCGCGTGACTGACTGGACGTCATTTACGTATGTTCGTATGAAGGTTCAGGCAGTCTTCCCTGGAGATCTGTGTGGACGTCTCCGTCACGAAGCCCCTGCGAACCTTCACGGTGGCAGCGTGCTTGAGGATGAGACAGCGCGCTCAGCGCGCTCCATGACATAACGTCTGGGCTCTGCATCGGCGCAGCTATAGGACAGCACTGTCTGCGTGTCAAGATGCTCTTGATCTAGCTGCGCATGCTCTGTGTCGAGCTGGCACTGCCACGAGCGAACTGCGTCAACTTTGAGGGCGAGAACGTCGGCACCGCTCAAAACCTCAAGGGACGAAGGGATCTGGAGCACGACTCGGGCCGGCCCGTGGAAGCAGGCACAAAGGGGGGCCGAGGACAAGAATGCTGGCAACGCCAATCGTCAGCTCAAACCTGCTTGCTGTCAGAACTGTCAGCCGAGATATATGCAAAAGCGCGGCGCCTGGCAACAACTTCTCTAGGAGAGCGGGGCCTCGCAGGCTGAGTGGAACGTGGGCGCCGCATTGACGCAGGCACAGGCAGGAGGACGTCTCCATCAACGACGTTATGCTTCTCGCGGGCATCTGAAGCCTTGCCAGAGTCCGAAGTCAACCACCTCCAACCTTTCGGACGATGTCCCACTCATGGTCCCTCAGCAGCGCCGGCTGGCGACGGAGCAGGCAACGCGTCAGCTCTGGCTCGTGGCTCTTCAGCTCTTTCTCGCAGTCCCGACGGCAGCAGCGTAGCCGGCGACGAAACAGCTCATATCCAGTGGCAAAGGTGGCACCACGGGAAGAACCGGAAGAACGTGCTGATCTGCATTTCGCCCTTCAGCTGCACGCTCGGCTGCAGGCGGCGCGGGCGGCGGCGGACGCCGTGGCGGGGGCAAAAGAAGCGAAACCCCCATCCACACGCCTTGGGGCTGCGGCGGCACAGGCCAGAGGGGGCGGAGCAGGCCAGTGCGGCGCCGGTGGCGGCGCTTCCGCCTCGCGCCCAAGACCTGGCGGCGCGGCTCCTAGCCCTCGCGAAGAGCGCGCTGGGCCCGAATCGTGACCGTGCGCAGGAAAAGGGCAACGGCTCGGGCTGTCAGGGGAGGGAAGGAGAGAGGAAAGGAGGGAGGAGTGGAGGGAAAGAGGGAGTGAGAGAGAGAACGAAAGAGAGAGAGAGAGAGAAAGGCAAACGAGAGAGAGAGAGAGAAATACGCGCGCTGAGTAGTCGCAGATGAGGCACGGGTGCCGCCGTAAGCCCCGCTGTGGTCACAACGACGATTTCCAGCGTTCGCGGGCCCATGCCATCGACGCAAAGAAACGCGTAATCAGAACGCTCTCGCTCTGCCGGGGCCACTCTTGAGGGGCAAGAGGGGAAAGCAACATGTGGCATGATAGGGTATAGCGATGCCCCGCTCGCTCTGGCGGGGCCTGTCTGGCGCTCTGGAGGAGCACAGAAGCTGAGGGGTGAGGGGAGGAAGAGGCGAGAGGAGGGAATGGAGGCGAGGGGAGGGGGCGGGAGGCAGGAGGGGCGGAGGGGAGAGGCCCAGGCCATCTGGGCCGTCTAGGAGCGCTTTGGGACCTCCCGCTCCCACTCTGTGGCCCAGCTTGGGCCTGTCCTGAGGTTCTCTTGGGTCGTCTGGGGGGCTCCTGCTGGACGGTTTCCGGGCTCCCTGGGGCCGTCTCGGGGCTCTTTCGAGTGCCTCTTCGGTGGTCTCGGGGCGGTCTTGGGGGCGTCTGCGGCCGTCTTCAAGCATTGGAAGCTCGAGAAAGCGAGAAAGCCGAAAACATCGAGCAAACCAATTCAAATCAATGATTTGGGCCTCTTGGACGACTTTCGGGACGTCTTTCGGAGCTCTCTGTGGCCCCCTTGGAGGGCTCTTGGGCTGTGTATGGCCGTGCCTGGCCCATCTGGGGCCTCGTTGGCGCCATCAGGGCCGTCTTGGAGCGCCTTGGGGCCTCCCGCCCCCGCTCTGGGGCCCAAAAAGAAAAACATGTTAGAGCCATCGAGATTGTACGCATTCCTCTTTTTACACGATTGGCCTGTCCTGGGCCGTCTGGGGCTCCTCCCGGGCCATTTGCGGGTTCCCTGCGGCAGCCTTGGGGCTCTGCTGGGGGCCGTTTTTCGGCGGTCCTGGGGCGGCCACGGGGGCGTCGTCGGCTGTCGTGGAGCGTCGGGAGGTCGAACACGCGAGAAAGCGACAGATATCGGAGAAAACAAAAGAAGAACAAGGACTTGGGCCTCTTCGGGCTCTCTCGGGACGCCTCTCGGAGGTCTCTTGCGGCCTCTTGGAAGCCTCTTGGGCTGTGAATATGCGGTCCGGAACGAACCCATCTGGGGCCACGTTGGGGCTATCTGGGCTGTCTCGGAGGGGCTTATCGAAGTCCCCGCGGGGCTTCTGGGAGCGTCTTGGAGCTCTCAGGGGCAGTCTGGAGGCTCCTCGGGCCCTCCGGGGTGCTCTGGGAGCGGTCTCGGAGGCCCCGATCCACCAATGCCCGCTCCAGGTCGCGGCCCCGGGCGCTCGGGCCTCGTGCGTGGGGGTATATATATATATATATATATATACACATGTACATCTATGAGAGAGAGCGTGATCCACCGCCGCTTTACTGTGGAAAATTGCCGCCCTTTTCCTCCGGAACCTGGGGGTCCCCCCCCTCCCCTCCGAAAATCCCCCCCCTTCTGGAACCCCTCCCCCCCCCCCCTTCCCCCGGCAAAACCCTTCCCCTCCCCTAACCCCCCCCCCCTCCCCCTCGAGCTCGAAAACCGGGGGGGGTCACTACCGGTTCGAACCCCCCCCCCTCGAAAACCGGAGGGGGGGGTCACTACCGGTTCGAACCACTGAGCTGTCCCACTGTTCCCACCACTGTCCCCACTGTCCCTACCACTGTCCCCACTGTACCTCTTTCCCATTGTCCCACCGCCGTCCTCGCCACCGCCTTCACCACTGTCCCCACCACCACTGTACCCTCCACTGTCCTACTGTTTCCACCACATTCCCACTGTCCCCACACCACTGTCCCCACCACCACCGTCCCCACCACTGTCCCACTGTCCCCACTGTTCCCACCATTGTCCTCACCATTGTCCCCACCACTACCGTCCCCACCACTGTCCCACTGTCCCCACCACTGTCCCGCTGTCCCCTCACCACTGTCCCCACCACCACCGTCCCCACCACTGTCCGCACCCCCCCTCGGTTTTCGAGGGGAGGGGTGTTCGAACCGGTAGTGACCCCCCCCCCGGTTTTTGAGCTCGAGCTGTCGAATCCAAGGAGGCGCAGGAAGGCGAGAAAGAGGGGGTATGGGCAAGCGAATGGGGGGGAGGAAGGGAGGGAGGCAAAGTGGGAGCGAGAGGAGGACGAAGAGAAGTGAGCGAACGATACCTCATCGCGATCTTCTTCGAAAGAACTTGTCGGGTAGGAGTGGCAGGGGCTCAAGCCGTCGCCCCGCGGACTATTTGAGGCCTCGTTGAGCTCAGGAAGCTGTGGACGTCTTCTCGACATGATCCTCCTCCTCGTCCTCCTCCTGAACCACGCAGCGTTTTGCAACGATGCCTGCTCCACCACGCAAATGCGCGACGCTCGCGAGCGTGCCGCGCCCGCAGGGAGGGGTGGAACAACAAGGGGAACGAACAAGGAATAGTCGCGTCGAGCAGGGGGGGGGGCAGTTCACGATGATGTGACAGCGATGATGGTGGTGATGGCGTTGCTACTGGTGGATAGTGATGGTGAATGGTACGTGGTGGCGATGGCGAGGGTGATGACGACGGCGATGATGATGCGATGATGATGTGGTGATGGTGGTGAGGACGATGCTACTTCTGCTGCGGAGCGAACCGGACAAACGCCAGTTCCCGGCACCGAAGTACCCGTGCCACTGCGAGCAGGACGCAGGAGGCCGTAGCCTCAGAACGCGTGGGTGCAGAAGTTGTGGTTGAACTGGAGGCAACCCGCATCATAAGGATGGGCAACCATCCGAAGGGTGCCCTTGCATCCTTGCCCCTTCGGCCCATCCTCGGCCACTTTCACTGGCCGCGCCACGCTTGAAAAAGCCTCGGAATGGCCTATCGTGCGTCGAAATTATACGGGTTGACTGAAACAGACAAATTTGCACACAGAAGGAAAAACATATGAGATAGCGCATGCACCGGCAGAAATCAAACGCGTGGGCGAAATAGTGCACGACCCAGGGAACATAGAAAGTGAGGAAAGCCAGGACCAGGATCGTACCTGTGGTAGGTGTGGCCTGCAAATGGTTAGTGCTGTTGGTCGGCGCGTGTGTTGTGGTCGGTGTTGATGGTCGATGTTCTGTGCTGGTGGTCGGTGGTGTTCTGTCGTGGTCGATGTTGTTAGCAGATGGTGGTCAATGGTGCGGCGTGCTGGTGGTGCTGTTGGTAGGTTGTGATCGGTGTTGATGGTCATGGCTGATTCGGTGCTGGTGGTATTTTGCTGCTACTGTCGGTGGTGGGTGGTCGGTGTGTTGCGTCAGTGCTGTCGCTGCTGTTGCTGCTGGTGGTGGAAAGTTTGCACATTCAGCTGGTGCACGTGAGGAAACTGCTTTCAAGTGGGTCCAACCACGTCGTGTCCGTTGCGGCCGCCAGCCATCTTACGTCGTCGCCGTCGTGGTGGAGATATCGCCGTGGACGAAAGGCTTCCCGAATATTACTCTGTGTGACTTCGTCGGTGGTGGTCTCGTGTAAGCTCCTGGACTTTCGTATGTCGTCGTCCCACCGCTTTTGTTGGCAACCGTGCTGCCGATGACCCTGTTGGATCGTGTCGAAGGACAAGATCCAATGCAATGCTCGGTGTGTCCATCGGTTCGGTGGGTGGTTTGCTACGCGCCCGGCCCAGCGCCAGACTCTTGTCCGGTGTATCTGCCCAGCGCCAGGGATGTCGTGCATGTTCATTGGCTCCTCGGCTCTGCGCGTGCTTCGGCGGATGAAGTCAGACCACAATTCGTTATCGTCCGTTGTCTAATTGTGTGGACATGGCGAGGTGAGTCGCTAGTACCTTCTCTCGCAGCGGGTCACTCTGACGGGCTAGGCGGGTTGCTGCATGCGTCGTTGTCGCTGGGGTCGTTTGGCGTGGTCGCTGCCGGAACGTCTTCTCGGTGCTGCGATGAGATCGTCCTAATCATCCGTCGAGGTGTGCGGCGCAACTATGTTTGTTAAGAGGCTCGCCAAACCGTGGGCGACAAAGATGTTGGAGCGGTTGCTTGCGGACATGGTGATGCTCAGGTCGGATACGAAAGCCTTCCTGACGGTGTGTGTGTGGCATTTTGTCAGACTCCTGATCGTGAGCGTGGGGTACTGCATCGATCTTCGAACCACTGGCGCCGCTGGTGCGGAGCGTTGCGCTGGAGTCGGAAATAGTGTTAGTTAGACTCTAGGTCGGGCGTATCCCCCTTCAGGCGGATTTTGGGCAAGGTACCCCAAAAAATCAATATGCCAAAAAATGCTTAGCAACAGTGTCCCTGGACTATTGTTTGACTATTTTTGAATTTCCCTCCTGTAGGGAGACACGCCCGACTTAAAAATAGTGCGTCCATGGTGTGGGATGCACAATGGCACATCTTCAGAGGTGTTGCTGTAGGTCCAGTGTACTCCGCCGCGTTCTTGTGAAACTTCATGATGGGCATGCCGACGCTCCTTTAGAAGCGGGGGTCCTGAGACTGCCTGCAGTTGGAGGCAGCCGAATGTGAGACATACCTGGACTCGGGGCCGTCTGACGCACAAAAAACGTTAAGCTGTGGAGGTGCGGAGCCCGCAGTGGGTTGGGACCCCGGGTTGGAAGCGAAGGGTTGAAAATCTCTAGTCGGAGGTGGTTGAGAGGGGATTCGGAGGCCTCCTAGATGGGGTCGGAGAAGATGTGGTCGAAAGATCGCGCCGCATCGACACTGCATCGGCGATGTATTTATCGGCGAGGCATCGGCGATGCATCGGCGACGTCAGCGATGCATCGGCGACGTCGGCGTGGGGAAACACGGGCTCCACATCGAGCCGCAACGTCGATGCGTCGGCGATGCGGCGCGATCCTCCGACTCCACCTGCGCCCGACCCCATCAAGGAGGCCTAAAATCTCGACAAGCGTTTTTTGGAGCAAGTTTCGGCCTACGGGGGGCCCTCACGGGCCTCCGGGACTGCCGAAACCGGCTCAGGACGAAGGTCCAGTCCCGGGCGCGGGGTCAAGACTTCCAGGGGTCCACCTTGCGAACCCAGACCCCCGACGTCAGATGTCTGGACCCCTTCCCCTGGACCGGCGTTACATCCTGAGTCGTTGTTTGACGGTCCCGAGGGCCGGTAAGGGCCACCAAAAGCCGAAAATTAGGAAAACCGCCCGTCATGATTTTTTCATTGCCAGACGGGGTCGGGGAAGCAATCGCACCGTCGGAGTTCCCCAGGGCTCCAACAAAAACGGCGAGCTCCGATGTCTCGAGAAAAATTACAACATCGCGAGAGAAGTCACGACCGGAGCCCCGGACCCCATCTTTCTGTACAATTTTTCACACTGGATCGATCTGTGGGGGTCCCGGGGTCCGAACTCATTCGAAGACGCTCGGCTCGAAAAGATTGCGGCGCCAGGATCTCGGGGTCGTCGCCGTCGGGCGGGCGGGCTCTCCTCGCACACTTTGAACCACTTCCTGTTCACGGTGAACCTCACGTCCGCGGGGTCGCCCGCGACCAGCTGGCCAGCGTCCCGCGAGGCCCTGGCCTGGCGCCTGCGGGTCGCCCTGCTAGAAGGGCCCCCCCCCTGCCCCCTCGGTCGGAAGAAGTAGGTAGAAACATGAAGTAGAAAGGCGTTAAAAGTAAATCGGATGTCCGCCCACCCCCTGAGGAGGAGGAGGGAAGAGGGCAAACCACTCGATCGTTGAAGTAGGAAGGCGGTTAAAAGTATATTGGAATCTGGGAATCCAAGAATACCTACTTTCAACGACCGATGGGTACTATGACTCTCCCTTCTCTGCGGGTACTGGCCGTACCCGCATTTGGCATTCTTCCCCACAGGATTGTATCAGGCTTGCCTTCGACATGCTTATTGTTCCCGTCAGCGGCCTTTCCAACACGATACTCCCGCCGAAGCGCCTGCCACATCCAGTGATATCCAGAGAGGTCCCGACTGGTGGAGCTTCACTCTCGCCGTGGTGGTTGCCGCACGATTTCATCAACGAGAATGGTGCTCCCACTGTAGGGTTTGCCGAGAGCCAGTGTTGCTAAGCAGCGCGCTGCTTGTTCCGCAAGAGCCGCAGACCGACGGCATGTCTGGCGTCCTTGCCCAGGCTCTTCGCTTCGACGCCCCTTCCCCGTGGTTTTTGGCCAGGGCGGAGGGGCCGGAGTCTGATTTCTTTATCAAGCTCTCTGCCAGATGATAATTTCATTGATAATAGCTTCGGGTGGTGGTTCCACCTGTCGGACCATCTTCCGTCCAAGGGCAGGCCGCATGTCAGAACCGATGCCTTCCTCCCGTCGCTCCAGCGCGGGACACGTTTCTGGATCTGGTTCGCTCCTCGCCGTTTCCGTTCCCCTCCGTGGCTCTCCTCCGCCTTCCGCTGGCTCTCCTGCTCCTCCTCCTACTCCTGCCGCTCCTGCTCCTCATGCCGCTGCTGCTCCCCCTCCTTTTCTCATCATGCCCGTCCTCCTGCTCATTCGCCTCCTCCTGGTTCATCTGATCATACTTCTTCTCCTCCTCTACACCATCATCATCCTCATCAACATCAACAACATGATCCTCAACATCATCCTTATCCTCATCATCAGCAGGATGATTATCATCCTCATCATCATCATCAGCATCATCGTCATCCTCATCAACATCAGCATCAGCATCATCGTCATCATGATCACCAACAACAGCAACTGCATCATCAGCAGCAGCGGCGGCATCATCAGCATCATCAGCATCAGCGTCATCATCATCATCATCAGCATCAGCAGCATCAGCATCAGCATCAGCATCATCACCATCACCATCATCAGCAGCAGCAGCAACAGCATTTTTTTTTTGATCTCCACGGACCCACCGCATAGTGCAGAGAACTGGCAGGGCGGGACCTGCCAGCACTGAAAGACCTCGCCTCGGCGAGAGCCGCTTTGGGGAGGGGGCTTCGCGAGTTCCTTTCGGAGCGCCCACTATGGCCCCCTCCCCGCACGGATCGACCCTCGGCTCGGGCTCCCACTGTCTGGCAGACATGCCAGAGACAGTGCACAAAAAGAAATAAATTCGCCAAGCAAGAGCCAAGCCTGTCACAGAGGCGAAGGACAGGCGAGGACAGGCACCAGCTGACCCTCAACTGGAAAAAATCGGCAACGCGGAGAGCGTCCTAAGCGGACAGGCGGTCGCCGCTTAGGTCGCGGGCAGCAACCTATGCCACAACAGCCTGAAAGCCCAGGAAGCAAAGCACGGCCGAGGATAAGATTGAGAACAGAAACTGAAAGTAGGAGAGGCTCCGAAGGCCAACGCACGAACAAAAGGTTCAACCCTGCCAAAAGAGAAAGGCAGGCGAGAACACTGAAATTCAATCCGAATCTCCCGACCCCACCTCCACAGTCCCACCCGTTCCCAAATCTTCCGCTTCGCAGCGGAGAGACGCAGCAATGCGATTCAAGCACTCCCTGGTGGCTGAGGCCGAGGCGACCACATCACTCGAGGAAGAGCTGGGCGCAACGCTGCAGGCATGAGCACAGGCAGTGGCTGCAATAGCTGGAACTGTGAAGCTGGGACGCTATTGCCCTCCAGCGCTGGCCGCACTGCCAGACGGGCCAGAGGGCGCAGAGCTAGAAGCATCTTCCTCCGAAAATTGAGGATTCGAAACCAAATACGAGTTGAAGCAACGCACTAGCGAGGTGTCATCAACTGTGACACCTTTGCTGGACTTGGAGCACTGCGGGTGAGTACCCTTGCACAAGGCGGCCCAACCCTGACGGCCCGCACGGGTGGGCTTCTTGCAAACTTCGCCTAGGCCTCTAATCCTGCCACCTGTGGAGTGGCATTTACATTTAAGGCATATGAAAAGCACTGTCTTGTCAGAACAGTCGAAGGCAACAGTCCTATGCCCAAGGGCATCTTGCCTAGCCGCATGCAGTTTGGAGTCCTGGGGGCACCTTCCAGGGGGGGCCGAGACGAGCCCCTGTTCCCGCGGAGGCACACCGCACACCTCCAGACGTCAGCCCAGACTTCCCAACGATGGCCAACCTTACTGCGGGAGCTTAAATGCTCAGCAGGAGGAGGAGGGAGATAGGGAACGTCGAGAGAGAGCTTAGGCCAAAGAGGAAGCAAGTTAGCAGCGAGGATGCAATAACCCCTGGCCGCTTCCACAAGCTTGTCCACATTGGCAAGTTCGGTCGGGTCTGATGGGTGAAGCTGAAGGGCATGTTTAGCCCCCACATCCGCATCAGCGTTTCCACGCCTGAGGAAACGTTCTCTCTCGGAGATGCCCTCCTGGTGCACATCTAAATGAGCTTTGACCTTAACAATTCCTTCCAAAAAGCAGCCCTCAAAGTTGTTGGCACACATGATCATTCCTGAATAAGACCTCTTGCCCGAGTACCTCTCAGGCAAGGGCAATGTGCTGTGAGACACAACGTTCGCACAGTCCGAATAAATAGTGGTCGGCAACACCAAGAACTGTGCGGCTACACATCTGGCAGCATATTCAGCCGCCTGAGGCGTCTGAGGAAGATGAGCCCAGACAGGGCCTCTCGCCTCTCCAAGGCACGTGCCATCCTCAGCATTCATAGTAATCGCATAGGCAGCTCTAGACAATTCCTTGATCGGGTGGCGCTGACAGGACCCATCTATAAAGACGTGCCCCCACATTTCCCCGTTCACTGGGACCCTGGGACCTTCAGGGCTAGGAAGCTCGTCACAATGCCAAACGAACTGAAGGGCATTCGTTCCCTCCTCAACAGGAAGCGGCAACACGTCAGCGGGATGAGCGAAAGCTCCTCTGGTATAAAGAGCTCGCACATGAGGGTCGGGTTCCGCCTGAGCTGTCCACACGGCGATGGCATCTTGCACAACTGAGGCCGGGACCAGCTGAGTCCGCGACTCTAGGACTTCCGTCGCCGTGCACTGCCAAAGCCTGTGAAACACTGAGTCGGGCGAAGCAGAGCAAAGGGGACAAAGCGGGTCTACCTGATACCCACATGCCAAGGCCTTGTCCGCAGACCAGATGGCATCACAAGAGCAAGCCCGAATCCAGCCCCTCTGCGCAGGTGAGAACTTCTTACTGACACAAGCAGCTCTGGGAATGTCCAGACACGCCCTGCAATCCAGCCCCCATTTGCCCCCAAGATCCCGCTCGAGCCCACGCATGTAGGCCTCTTTGCACATAGTTTCCAACAGCTTGGGGGGAATCAGGCCGAGCTGCAAACGATAACCACGGTCGTCCAAGATAGTGGCATAGTCAACCATGGTCCAACCGAGGCGAAGGAGGGTAAGGCGAAGGGCAGACACGGGGCCCTTAACAGTGGGCCAAGTAACCCTAGGCAGCGCAAACACACTCCTGAAGCCGTCTCGGAGCTCCCTATGAGGAATGGACCAGGGGAACTCGCGCGTTTGGGCCAGCCAGACCTCTTTGCTCCAACGCAGGACGGGAGCCGAAGCAGCTCGCCAGCACGGGTCCTCCGACAGAAGGCTGACCGCCGTGAGAGACCTACTTTTGGCAAAAGGCCTCACAGTCTTGAAAGCCTGCCGCCTCATGGTTAGGAGGACCTGGTCGCTCACCCCCAGGATGTCCGCCCCATAGGCCCCTCCAGGGAGGGGGCCCGCAGCGAAAATTCTGAGGGCTTTGCGACCAAGGTAACCTGCCTGACGCTTGAGACGACGGGCTTTCCTGCAGAGCAGCGCCACACGGCTCTTGAGCTTCGAGCTCCGCCCTGAGGCCCTGACCGAGGTGCCAGCACTGTAGTCGACTCCGAGGTTCACAGTCGAGGCAGTGAACTTGCCTCCAAACTGTCCCAGGGCCGCAGCCAGCGCGGTGGCCAGGCCTTTGGAGGACGCAACGGTACAAATCTTGTCGAGAGCAAGCTGACAGTTCATCTCATTCTCATCAGTAATAGCATGATGAAGAGCGAGAGAGACGGTAACAATGGACGAGACAACATGTTCTCTGGACCCCGTGCAAGACACTCCAGTATCATCAATATAAATGTCAAAATCAACAGAGGGGACAGAGGGGAGCTTATCGAACGAAGACAAACCATAAATGCGTATATGAGTAGTGGCCATGCTGCAGCCCGCAATGACTCCTTTCCGCACAAAGTGCGGCCCATCCAGGAGGCCAGCGATGGAGACAAAGCGGCCACACCTATACGCATAAAGGGTAAGCCTAGTCAGCACAGTCGGGAAATTATGTTGGTGACATCGCTGCTCTAAAACGTCTAAGTCAATCGTCTCATAATACTTGAGCATATCATAGAAGACGCCGGCACTCTCTTCCTTTCTAGAGGTCCCCGTCTCAGCGCGAAACGATTGACGCCAGACTACATCCGCAGCTCCACGAAACGCCCCCGCAGCCCAGTACCGACGGGGGTGTTGCTGCTCCCAGTGTAAGGCAAGGGGACGCCTGAGGCGTCCCCAGACCCTATACCAGGAGCAGAACACCCCTATCGGTCTGTAGCCACCGCTGGGTTTCGAGAGCAGGGCAAGCAACACCGCAGAAATCTGGCGCGGAAGTTGGCCAACCGACTCCATCAGCTGAAAGAGCATGCCAAGCGCAAC